TGGATTTACTAATGACAAATTCCTTTAATTTTTGTTCTTCTGAGAAAGTCTTTATTTCTCTTCATTTTTGACCCAACACATGCTTGGATCTTATATTTGGATATATTCTGACATTTTCTATTTCTTATTTGCTTGAACATTGACAATTAAAAAGATTATTGGTGCAGGTAGATTAATATCTGCCGTATTTATTACTGTTTTCTATTGCTTTTATTCTTCCCTTTTCTTTTTATTTTGGTCTTCCACTCTTTTCCTGCTTTCTCAGACTTTAACTGAACATCTTATATGATTACATTTTTTTCTCTCTTAGCATGTCAATTATGCTTCTTATTTTATACTTTTAAAAAGTCTTGGCTGGGCACAGTGGCCCATGCTTGTAATCCCAGCACTTTGGGAGGCACCTGAGGTCAGGAGTTTGAGACCAGCCTGGCTAACATGGTGAAACCCCATCTCTACTAAAAATACAAAAAATTAGCTGGGCATGGGGGCAGGTGCCTGTAATCTGTAATCCCAGCTACTTGGGAGGCTGAGGCAGGAGCATGGCTTGAACCCAGGAGGTGGAGGTTGCAGTGAGCCGAGATGGCGCCCCTGCACTCTAGCTTGGTTGACAAGAGCGAGACTCCATCTCAAAAAAAAAAAAAAAAAATCTTTGCCCTTGAGTTTGGTATTTAGAGTTACAACTTATCCAATTGCACTTTCAACTGATGCTATACCACTTCATGGCTTGTACGAGTTCCCTCTAACAGAGTATTCTCAGTTTATCTTTACCATCCCTTATGATATCCTTACCGTCCCTTATGATATTGCTGTCATGAGTTTCACTTATTCATAAACCATAACCATTGAATACATTGTTGCTGGTTTGTTTTTGTTTTTGTTGTTGCGACAGGGTTTTTTTGTTTGTTTATTTGTTTTTGAGATGGAGTCTCATTCTGTCGCCCAGGCTGGAGTGCAGTGGCTCGATCTGGGCTCACTGCACGCTCCCCTTCCCGGGTTAACGCCATTCTCCTGCCTCAGGCTCCTTAGTAGCTGGGACTACAGGTGCCCGCCACCATGCCCAGCTGATTTTTTGTATTTTTGGTAGAGGCAGAGTTTCACCATGTTAGCCAGGCTGGTCTCGAACTCATGACCTCGTGATCCGCCCACCTCAGCCTCCCAAAGTGTTGGGATTAACAGGTGTGAGCCATTGTACCCAGCGTTTTAAAATATTAATAATAGAGTCAGGGCGTTACTATGTGGCCCAGTCTAGAGTGCAGTGGCTATTCACAAGTGCAATCCCATTACTGATCAGTACAGGAGTTTTGACCTGCTTCATTTCTGACCTGGGCTTATTCACCCCTCCTTAGGCAACCTGGTGGTGCCTAAGGAGGGGAGGTCACCATATTCCCGGGAGGTCACCATTTTGATGCCAAACTTAGTGCAGACACTCAGTCCAGATAGCCCAGAACTCCTGGACTCGAGCTATTCTGCCTCATCCTCTTAACTGGGTCTATAGGCATGCACCACCATGCCTAGCTCTTGCTGTTATTGGGTTGAACAAACCGTTAACAGTTAAGAGTAAGAAAAGTAGGACGGGCATGGTGGCTCACGCCTGTAATCCCAGCACTTTGGGAGGCCGAGGTAGGTGGATCGATTGAGCTCAGGAGTTTAAGACCAGCCTGGGCAACATAGCGAGCCCCTGTCTCTACAAAAAAATAAAATAAATTGTTGGCTGGTGAATTTTGTTAAATTTCTTTGAATAGTGTTGGATTTGGGTCTGGAATGCAGTTAAGTCCCTTGGAAGCAGCGATTCTTTAGAGGCGTCTGAGCTTTTCAGTGGGTTCGGTGCTGCTTTAATCTGCAGCTGACTTAGCTTTATTACTAAGGGTGATACCGTTCTGCGGAGTCTACTCAGTACCCCATGAGTTAGGACATCTCTCCACAGTGGCTTGTGGGAACACAAAATATTTCCTGTGTGAACTCTGGGGATTTTTTTGTTTGCTCCTTCCTCAGGATTCTTTTCTGGGCCTTCTCATATAGTTTTTTCTCACCCAGGCACAGATCTGTTTTCAGCTAAAGACTCCAGGAGACCCTGGGCAGATCCTGGCTCTGCCTCTCTGTGCAGCTGCCGCCTCCCCAGGACTCTGCCCTGCAAATAGCGGCAGCCTTGGCCTCCCTGACCTCTGAACTCTGTCTTCCCACCTCAGAGAGACTGCGGGTTCCGGCTGAGTTTCCCTCCCTGTGCTGCAGTCTGGAACCCGCCTCCTGGCTGTAACTGGTGCAGTCATAGGACGCGCTTTCTGGTTTCCCTTCTGTCGGAATCACTGTCCTGCACTGTCTTCCACCAACTGAAGACGAAAGTATGTTGTCCAGTTTTCCAGGTGTTCAGGGTTCCCTGTTGCTGCATCCTACATGAGTACATAAACAGAACAAACAGAACAGCCTGTCGGGAGCTTGCTGAGGTTTCAGAACAGGTGCTGCTGGCTGAGCTGATGGACATGATTAACACTCCCCTTCTCCTTTTAGTGACCACAGTGTGAACGGGAACAGCAAGATGGCAAAGGCTTGCTGAGTAAGTGGCATAGCGCCAGCCTGGGTAGCAGCCTCCCCAGCAAGTTGCATGTAACTAGCTTCCTGTGGCTGTCACTGCTGGGCCCAGGCACCTCCGAAGATCAGCGCCTCCTCTGGGGCTCAAGCGAGGGCAGGAGTCTGTCACCCATGAGCTCGCAAGGGCAGAGCCACTGTCCTGTCTCGACGGCTCCACCGTGACTCCTGTGGACTTTGGACAGTGGGGAGCAGGCCCAACAGGGCCACTCGTGTGTGGTAACTCTGGCTTTGGGTGGATCAGGACCAAGCTAGACTTCATCCCCAGGCCCCAGGTGCTGTTGCTACTCCTGCCCGAGACCCCATCCACGGCTGCAGCTGTGTGGCGGGGTGGCTGGTGGTGGCCAGCGTGGCCCTGCTGTAGCTCCATGCTGGGGAGGGGCGTGGCCCCGATGAGCAGCCACCCCTCCATGTGGGCCACAGGGGAGGAGCCTAGGAAGCCACCCTGGCAAGGGGAGTGGACGCATTTATGTGGTGAGAGGTGAGAACCAGTGCCGCTTCCCAGAGCCCTGTGATTCCTGGGGAGGCTGAGGCTTGCAGACGCCTTGCCTGCTCTCCTCCTGGGGTGCTTTCCTGTTCCCAGGGCTGGGCCCTTGGAGGGAGAATGCTCGAGGGCCCAGCACGGGCAGGCCCTCTGGGGAGCCGCTCATGGCTGGTGGGGAGTCTGGGGCACAGTGAGGGACGGCATCTTCCACCGATCCCAGGCTTGGGAGGCGTCTGTCCTGGAGGCCACCCCTGCGGGAAGGCCTCTTGTGTGTGACTCCTTCCCCGTGAAATGGCTTCTCCAAACAGTTCAGCTCCACAAGTGCCCTGAGAAAACACAAAGTGCTTTCTGCACGTGTCCTGGCCCCCAGAGAAGAGTTTGGTTACAGAGAAGGTGACAGCTCATGGCTTCCTGAGGGTAGGGCAGTGGGAGAAGTCTCCAGGGGAGCTTGGGGCCCGTGGCCTCCCACACCCTGGGTGGGGCTGCCCACTGGGAGGCCCACATTGCCTTAGTGTCCTGCACCCTGCAGTTTAGGGTGCCTGGGGGCTGGAAGGGGAGCAAGGGCCGGGGACCAGTGGCTCACAGGGACCTGGGGAGAACTGTGGAACCAGCCTTCTCAGCCATCCCACCCAGGAAAGGAGTGGGCGGAGTTGGAAGAAATACAGCACTGCCTTGGCCTTGGCCTCAGACCCGAGGGTGTCTATAGCCGTGGTGGCGGCTGTGTCGTGGGGGCTGCGTCATGACCCTGGCAGTGGCCCCAGGACTGTGGACCAGTGCAGACTAGCACGCAGTTCCTGCTGGGCTCAGTGTGGGAGCCCCTCCTGGCCGTGGAGACAGGCCCATGTCAGCCCCCCAGGATCTGTTGCCCAACAGCTCTCAATCTTTTGCTTGGGGCCTCTGTGTCACGTGGAATCGTTCTGAGTTCTCTGCTATCTGGCAGCATCGTCTTCTGAGCCCTGCTCTGACAGGTGCCTTAGTCCACAGACCACCGTGCCCTCCCATGTCACCTGTGGTTACTCCACCATTCTGCCAGGCCATGGGATGTGGAGGCTGAAGTGTCCAAATGGAACATAAGCCTGTCCCCTCACTCCTTCCTCAGAGAGGCTTGCGTTGGGTTCACCCTGAGTAGGGGCGACCAGCAGCTGGAGAGAGTGGAGCTCTTAAACCGTGGGTCCAGAGCAGAAGGCCCCTCTGACACACCTTTCATCCAGCATATTCTCCATGAGCGCCTGCCACGGCCTAGGCCTTGCTTTCGGTGCTGTCGGCGGAGCCCAGCTCTCGTGGGGCTTGCATCTGACAGGAGAGTGTAACTACAGTGTGAGTGAGATGTGATTCGTGGTGAGGAATAGACACCCCGGGTGGAGATGGAGTGGTGGGACAGCATGTGCTCACTGAAACTGGATGATACGAAAGAGGCTCTAGCGAAGGGAGGGACAAGCTGTGGAGGAGGCAGAGCACTGAGGGGAGGGACAGTGTGAAGGCCTGAAACTGTCAACATGAAGCAGGCAGTCGTGTCTGCAAATGAGCCCCATGGCCAGCCCTGGACAGGAAGCAGCAGTGATGTGCGGTTCTTGTCAGAAGCCTCTAGGGGCAGGGTAGGGGTCTGTATTGAGGACAGACACCCCCATTCTCTTTGAGGAGTTGTAGGGTGAGCTGGTGGAAGCAATTTCCATGTCCTGGCGTGTGCTGTCTTGTTAGGACATCAGACATAACCCTAGAGTTCACATGAGGACGCAGAGATCTGTCCTAGAGGATGCTTGGCTGGGCAGAGGGAAACGGCCTTGTGTCCCTGGGGCACTCTCATTGTCCGGCGTATCTCTGGATGGGACAGTTATGGCTGGAAGGTGTCCTTGTGGCCTGTGCTAGTTGGACTAGCCTGACTGGTTATCAGTCCATGTCCTCACCCCCTCCCCTTTTCAATAACTCATTCCAGGTCCTGCAGGCTCTGCCTCTGGTGTGGAAGAGCTCACGGTGAAGCACTCCTGCCCAGGACCTGAGGAGCCGGCCACTGTTCAGAAGGCCCCAGCTTGAAGGACCAGAGAGCCGCCCAGCAGCATGACACAGGCAAGCTTTTGGAGGTAAGCCGCACTTCTTGCTCCCACGCAGGCCCGTCTTCCTGCGGCACTGGCTGGGCAGGATGCTGAGAAGCTGGGCAGGGGCGGCTGCTGAGAGGCAGGGAAGCCAGATAGCTGCAGGAAATATCCCGGGGCTGGGAGACTAAGATGGGCGCTCGGGGTTGCCGAGGCGGCTAGACCTGAGGGGCCAAGACCCCTGAGCGAAGGAGCCAGAGAAGAGAGACGGACATTAGGAACTGGTCGCTCTAGCCATCTGCTGATGAAGCTGCTTAGGGCAGAGGGGCAGAAAGTGGCTGAAAAGCAGAGTGGGATTTTTGGCAGTTTTGTGGAGTTAGGGAATAGATTGGGGCCTGTCAGGTGGAGGGCCGTAAGAAATATCCCAGGGTCTCATCTAGAACTAACCCTGTCTCGCCTGAGACAAGCCACAGCTGGGCTGGTCTTGACAAAGACTGCAGAGGAGCTCAGTGTCAGTGGAGTTCCTGATTCACTGTCTCACTGCTGCCCACCATGGAGGGGGTGGGCTGTCCCTGTCGGGGGACACATTCAGACCCCCTGCCATTCTGTCACACACAGTCCCTGACACTCAGTTGAAGACCACCAGGTACACTGGGAAAGGGGGCCAGAGGAAGAAAGGTGATGGGCCCACAGGAGACTGAGATGCTGGTTTTTGGACATGGATTTTAGGATATTAATCACATCTAATTTTATTTTATTTTATTTTATTTTATTTATTTTATTTTATTTTATTTATTTTATTTTATTTTATTTTATTTTTTTATTTTATTTTATTTTATTTATTTATTTTATTTATTTTATTTTATTTTATTTTATTTTATTTATTTTATTTTATTTTATTTTATTTTAGTTTAGTTTAGTTTAGTTTAGTTTATTTATTGAGATGGAGTCTTGCTCTGTTGCCCGGGCTGGAGTGCAGTGGCGTGATCTCGACTCACTGCAAGCTCTACCTCCTGGGTTCACGCCATTCTCCTGCCTTAGCCTCCCAAGTAGTTGGGACTATAGGCACCCGCCACTACGCCTGGCTAATTTTTTTGTATTTTTAGTAGAGACAGAGTTTTACCATGTTAGCCAGGATGGTCTCGATCTCCTGACCTTGTGGTCCACCACCTCGGGCTCCCAAAGTGCTGGGGTTACAGGCATGAGCCCCCACGCCCGGTCAATCACAGGTATTTTAAAGAATAGAGATGAGGCCGGGCACGGTGGCTCAAGCCTGTAATCCCAGCACTTTGGGAGGCTGAGATGGGCGGATCACAAGGTCAGGAGATGGAGACCATCCTGGCGAACATGGTGAAACCCCGTCTCTACTAAAAAAGTACAAAAAAACTACCCGGGCGAGGTGGCAGGCGCCTGTAGTCGCAGCTACTCGGGAGGCTGAGGCAGGAGAATGGCGTAAATCTGGGAGGCGGAGCTTGCAGTGAGCTGAGATTCGGCCACTACACTCCCGCCTGGGCGACAGAGCGAGACTCCATCTCAAAAAAAAAAAAAAAAAAAGCAAACAAAGAATAGAGATGAGATGGATCGTTTCATAGACTTGGAATTCATAGAAAATATAATGGAAGTTCTAAGACAGAAAAGCACAATAACTGAAATTTAAAATTCAGCCAGGTGCAGTAGCTCACACCTGTAATCCCAGCACTTTGGGAGGCTGAGGTGAGGAGTTTGAGACCAGCGTGAGCAACATAGCAAGACCTTGTCTCTACTAATTTTTTTTTTTTTTTAATTAGGCTGGTCGCAGTGGCTCACACCTGCAATCCCAGCACTTTGGGAGGCTGAGGCAGGCAGATCACTTGAGGTCAGGGGTTCAAGACCAGCCTGGCTAACATGGCAAAACCTTATCTCTACTAAAAATACAAAAATTAGCCAGGCGTGGTGGCGGGTGTCTGTAATCCCAGCTACTCAGGATGCTGAGGCAGGATAATCGCTTGAACCTGGGAGGCACAGGTTGCAGTGAGCCGAGATTGCACCCCTGCGCTCCAGCCTGGGCAACAGAGTGAGACTGGGTCTCAAAACCGTAAAGATTTTACATAATTAGCCGGGGATGGTGGCACATCCGTGGGTCTCAGCTACTTGAGAGACTGAGGAGGGAGGATTGCTAGCATCTAGGAGGTGGAGGCTGCAGTGAGCTATGAATGCACCACTGCACTCCAGCCCGGATGACAGAGCGAGACTCCGTCTCAAAAAATAAAAATAAAAAATCCAATAGGTGTATTTACCAGCAGATTGGAATCAGCTGAAAAAAGGATTAGTGCTCTAGAAAAAAGGTCAATAGAAAAATAAGTTGTGGGGCTTGGCATGGTAGCTCATGCCTATAATCCCAGCACTTTGGGAGGCCAAGGCAGGCGGATCAGTTGGGCTTAGGAGTTCGAGACCAGCCTGGGCAACGTGGCAAAACCCCATCTCTACAAAAAATACAAAAAATTAGCCAGGCCCAGTGGCGCATGCCTGTGGTCCCAGCTTCTTGGGAGGTTGAGATGGGAAGATCACTTGAGCCTGGGAGGCTGCAGTGAGCTGAGATCGTGTCACTGCACTCCAGCCTGGGTGACAGAGTGAGAGACCCTGTCTCATTTCTTTAAAATAAAAAAAAAGTAAAAAGAAAATACCTTGCAAGTACCACCACAACCAGCTCACTTTACATTGTGTGTCCTTTTCCTGGACTCTTAGGGCACCCTCCCTTCTCCTTTCTGTGGCCCCCCAGCCCTGGACAGGGAGGGGGCCCTGCTGAGAAGGCCTTTGTACTTGGGAGAGACCGAGGTGGCTTTGGAATTGGGGAATTGGGGGATTACTTTTCATTGCGACCCTTGTTGGAAACATCAGCACAGTGGAGTCCAGTTGCAGTGCGCCTTGTGGCTTTGTTTAAATCCTCATTGGGAACATGAGTTCTCATTGTCCTCAGGGACTCAGGCTGTGGGTGTGCTAACGTCCCCGGTGAGAAAGCGGCTTTCTAGCCAAACTTCTTTTCGTTTGCATCTCCTCAAAGCAGAGTGCAGAAAGCGGCAGCACTGGGAGCGTGTGGGGAGGGACGGGGGCAGCCAGCGCAGGCTGAGCGAACATGCTCAGGCCCATACCTCGTGAAAGGCAGAAGGCGAGTGCTGACCTTCCATAGCAGGCCCGGTGGGGAAGGGGCGGTCTGCTGCCTGCCGAGCGTGACTGTGCAGCTGTTGCGAGTCTTTGTGATTCTGATGTGTGGTGGTCTGAGAAATTTCCCATCCTGGGTTAATGCTTTCTTTATAATGAACAGAAATTAATTCACGAGGGATGGCGCAACCAGGCTGGGGCGCAGGCCAAGGGCAGTGCACTGGGCTGTGATGACTGCATCCTGCTCAGGTTGTGGGACATGGGGTTAAAACATTGTCACGGCAAAGACACTGGCCTTTTACCTGAGTATAGGATAGTAGCCCTTTGTCCTCTAAGACGCTCTGTCCCTGGGGCCAGCAAACACCTCCCAAGGGAGAGGAGAGAAGGAACCCCAAGTGAAGCCAGCCGAGAGCAGGTAGGCCTTGTAGGGTTGTGGGAGCCACTGCACCCCTGGGAGCTTCCAGTCAGCTCAAGCCCAGTGCCCAGAATGTCCAAGTGCCACCTGGATGCCCTGCAGTGTCCACTGTGCTGGGTTGTCAAGGTTTTTCTCTGGGGGGTCTGCGGGGAGCCTGGAGCTGCTGGGTAGGAGGTGGGCTTGTGGCTCAGCTGTGTCCAGTGGCTGGCCGTGGAGTACCTCCTCTGCTCCACTAATCTTTTCATGGGCAAGAAAGACCACTGCTTTCCTGGCCACCACTTCCTGGAGCTTGTGTTCCTGGAAGTCAGCCATAAATAAGCCGGCCATAAACGAGGGTAAACAGGTACCCGGGTAAACACACCAGAGCAAATGAGCCATACGGGCCAGCAGAGATGAACCTGGGGCATGGCGGGGGTAGGGGTTGAGTGGGGAGAGGATGTCCTCTGAAAAGGTGACATTTAAGCTGAAACTGGAATGACAAGAAGGCCGCAGCTCTGCAGGCAGAGCGGAAGGCTCAGAGGTTAGAATCACATAGGTCACGGTAAGCATTGGATTTCGTGTTAGGGACAATGAAAAACTGGTGACAGATTTTAAGTAGGGGAATAATGAGATCTAATTACACATTTGCAAGATGTTCTGGGAGCTGTGGGGACGGTTGGGACATGTACCTGGAAACAGGGTGGCCAAAGGGTGAGGTGGTGATGATGGGTGGTGTGCAGGCTGCAGAATCTGGAGGACGTGCAGACGCAGGGTGTATGGTGGGGGTGGGGCTGGAGGGGGAGCGGGGCCTAGGATGATCTCGGGTATTCTAGCACCTGCATGGTGGTGGGGCCATAGACATGAGCAGGGAAGTAATCTGGGGCCATTGCGGCTGCAGCAAGTTTATGATGCCTGATGCCCATCAGACCTGTCCGAAGGGAGATGTCCCAGCCACAGCTAAAGTGTGAGACAAAGCCGCTGCTTCAGAGGACAGCAAGGGAGTGTTTCCTGAGCAGGCGTGACCAGACGGTCTTTCTAAGATGGAAACCTGGGCATTGAATTTTTTGTGTGTGGTTTCATTTTTAACATTAACTAATTGTTACCTTTTTTTTGGATGCTGCATCAGATCAAGCAGTATTGCTTAAAAAGCTTTTGATTTGTAGAATTTTAAGAAACTAATAATGGGATTTTTTTGTTTGTCTGTTTCTTTTTGAGACAAGGTCTTGCTCTGTCACCCAGGCTGGAGTGCAGTGGTGCGGTCATCGCCCATTACAGCTTTCACCTTCCAGGCTCAAGCAATCCTCCTGCCTCAGCCTCCCGAGTAGCTGGGACCACAGATGTGTGCCTCCATGCCTGGCTAACTTTTTAATATTTTGTAGAGACAGGTTCTTGCCATGTTACTGAGACTGGTTTTGAACTCCTAAGCTCAAGCAGTCCTCCCACTGTGGCTTCCCAAAGTGCTGGAGTTAGAGGCGCGAGGCTCTGCATGCAGCCAGAAAATCTCAGCATATTCAAA